TCTATCGTCGATGCTTGGAAAAGACTCCTTCTCGAGCTGGAACTAGGGCTGCTGCTGCTGGTGCTCTTGTTGCGGCCTTTGTCGTGGCCGAGAGAGACGGCTGAAGCCACGCTGAAAGCGTTGCTTGCATGCCCTGTCACCCGTCTTGTGAGCGTCCCCACAGATGACGCACTGCGGGGTGCAGGGATAGTCCTCTGGGTGTTTCTGTCCGCAGCTTGAGCACGTGAGGCGATTTGGCAAAGGACATACATCTCGTCGGTGGCTGACTTGTCTGCAGTTTAGGCACGCTTCCACCTTCGGTCGAAAGTTGAAAACGGCGTAGAGGATGCCAAACATTTTGACTGACGGAGGAAGCTCCTCAGCCATGAAGTGAATGAGCACTGAGCGTGAGGTACGCACCATGTCTCTTGCTTGGACTATTGGTAGAAGGGGATTCGCCCGACGTAATTCTTGAAGCAAGTCCTGAGGTGATTCACCATTCCAAGCGCGGTAGATGATCCCTGTCTGTGCCCCGTCCGGGGGAGCTATGTACGCGTGAAATCCCAGTTTCTTACCACCTAGCGTGAGTTCTCGTATTTTTGCATAGTTGGCAACTCGGTCGGCGCAAGATGTGGACACGGTGAAAATATTTTTGGCCAGATTGGTGCACACAAGATCTTCGTCGGCAACCACAGAGTGCAGTCCGCTTTTGGCGACTACAGCCGCTCGTAACTCTACGTCGTTGTATTGGGCCAGATCTACGCCCGCACTCGGACGAAAGACAATCTTGAAGTCATCGACTGGCAACCGTGGCAGTCGTTTTAAGCGAGGACGCACCACAGCTGTGCTGTCGAGCTTTGAGGAATGCTGTGCGGTGATTCCGTTTTGCGTGCTGGCGTTTCGGCAGCTGGCGCCGCTTTACTTGACTGCGTTCCTTCAGTTTCTTTTGACTGTTGTCGAGGTGAGCGTTGTCGGGCATTCAGGAATACACTTCATTCTTTTGGGTTGAATTCTGTGGCAGGTAAATCCGTGCCACTCACCATGTATGCCATTGCGTTGCCGAAAAACTTGTGCACGCGCGTCGAAGCGCGAGCCCGACGCCGGTGCCGGTGGCGTTAGGGCTAACGAGGCGGCGTTCCCCCGCTCAGCAAGAGTTGATGTTTGCAAAGCTCCTCAAGAACAAAGAGGTTTGAGGCACTCACCAGCAGCGTCGGCAACTTGCTGAAGTTCAAGAGAGACCACTGTTGGCACCAAAAAAGCAGTCTTGGTTCGACAAAAACTTCGTAGATTACGGAGCCCATGCGAGGCACGTCAGCCTTGCCTGGCCCCCTAGTGGACTCTCCTGGCTTTAATATGACCTTATTCGTAATCCAGGAGTTTATTCGGCCCTTTAGAACCCTCTCTGTGAGTTTCAACATGTTCGAAGTTAGCGAGATGGGTCTGATATTTTCTATAGTAAAACCTAATCCTTGCTTTTTTGTTAATGGGATTACCTTGGTTATTTTCCAGTCATACAGTATCCAGGCATTCTTTAAAGAGTAAATATAATATTGACCTCGTGAACAGTTGGAATTCCACCAGTGGCTATAGGGTACTCTCTTCGCAGATTTAACAGCAAATTCAGCGTTTTTTGTATGCCCTTTTGATTACTGCGCTTAATTTTATAGCTTTAGTGTCATCTCCATCCTGAGAAGGAGCGTCTAAAGCAGTTTTTAGGTCGTGTTGAAATTTTGAATAATTTATATAGGTCCGGGCATGGAAGCATGATGGTTTGACAGGGCAAGCGATCTCGAACATTATTGAAAAGTTGTCACTGTTCGAGGTGCAATCAAGGGCTGTCCAAGATGTGCTAGCAATTGCTGAACTTACAAAGCTTAAATCTAAGGCGGAGCGTGATTGACCTCGAATAAATGTGGGAGTTCTAGCGTTAAGGCACAATAAGTTGTTGTCTACCGACCAGTCCCACAACCGTTGTCCATGCTTATCTGTTTTAAAACCCCAGTAGGTAAGGTGAGAGTTGAAGTTACCAACTATAATTTTTTCTTTACAGCCTGAATGAGCAGCCGTATCTAACAATCTCGTGTCTTGAACGCCTACAGGAAAGTAGACGTTTATTAGTGAGAAAGGCAAGTATCCTGGCGAGGTAATATCCAACGCGAAAATTTCGCATTCAGAAGACATACATTTGTATGAGTTTTTGACTTTTAAACTAATTTTATTGTTTATAAAGAAAGCTAAACCTCCACCATTAGATGGACGGTCTAGACGAAAGGTTTGGAAGTTGGGTAGGTGAAATAAATGATGTGTGGATAGCCAAGTTTCTTGTAATGCAATAATAGCCAGATCTAATTTGGAAGACAGGTATAACAGATCTGTTATGGCTGAGTGAAGAGATCGGCAATTCCAATGTATAATTTTAAGAAACCCTATGATTTCGTTAAAATGGTTTCGGCAATTAGCTTATCTAAAATACCTTCTTTTAGAAAATCGGTTTTTGAAAGGTTGTCTTTCTGGCATTTCTTGCTTTTTACGTGCTTCGGCGAGCCAGGTTTTTTCGATACAGGGGATCTAGAACGCTTTAGGCATCTGAGATCTATGTCCATATCTTGTGTGTCCTGAGAAGCTTCCTGTGCACCCTCGCTTTGCCTCTGAACGCCTTCTGCAGAGGGCTCTGCAGACTGTGCATCCGGTGGAGTTATCTCAGATTCTGCCTCACTTGTCGTGTGTGCAGACTCAGCATTTTCTACAGCCGTACTTATATCTATCTGTGCTCCATAGACTTGTGCGATTTGGTTACTCACAATGTGCGACAGCGACTCACATAGGGGGTAGCAAGGCGTTGCATAGCCTTATCCACAGCCTCCTCGATCATTTCCGCAATTGGTAGGGAAAATGATGCTTCCATTGCTATGTTATGACGGGCAGCTGCTCCTGCAAACCCTTGAGTTCGGGCTTGGATTTCAGCAATGGCATCTTTTCGGGAGCATCGCCTTCTGTCTACAATTTCAAGGATTTGGATTTGACGTGCCTTGGCTGAGCAGTTTGGGTTATCAGTGCAGTGTGCTTCATGGCAAAGACAGCGCTTTTCTTCATTACTTTTACAGTCGTTTGAGTTGTGCGTCTCACCACAAATTCTGCATCTAGGTACTCACCTGCATCCTTTCACTGTGTGCCCATAACGCCAACACTTAATACACTGTAGGGGACGAGGCGATAGTGGCTCCACTCTGTATATTAAAGGCCATGCTTTGATTTCGGTTGGGCGATTCGACCCGGCAAATGTAGCAATCACGGACTCCGTTGGGACCTTGTTCTTCTCCACAACTTGACTACATCTATAGATAGCTATCACACCTGCTTCTGAAAACATATCTAATATCTCAGTTGGGGTCAAGTTGACATCGACACCCCGAACGAGGCCTTTGACGCAAGCTAGGTGAGGTGGAATGAATGCGCTCACCGGGTTGGTAGCGAATACCGAGCATTTTAGTAGGTCTCGAACACAGAGCTGGTCAGACGAGAAGCAAAGAATGCCACCCTTGCCGAACTGCCTGACCTCTGTGATGCTTTGGTAGTGAGTTGTAGCGGATCTCAACTCCGTCTGCATCATTTTTTGGATTCTTCATCCGTACAATACCATCGTTGCTTGGGACCAATGCCACAGGAACAGATGAGATACCATTGTGTAAAAACAAGTCCACTGGCAATTCCTGCGAAGGAAGAGAAGCAGACCAGAAGAAAGCCCCTGGTCCAGGTGAGGAAAACGGCATCTGCCTGGTCGTACTATCTGAAAATACACTCGCCAGATAATTAAAACACTATAGAAACGCTTACGAAAAAAAGAATAAACTACATCAATCACAACTACTGAAATCTCGGCCAAACCCTCAGAGCAGGCAAACGTCAGTCGCTGATCGATCTGCGATCGATAGCGACTGCTCGATAGTGATCGATAGCGATCGATAGCGATCTGCTAAGCAGTCAGATCGTCGTCGTCCCTTCAGAGCATGTGGTCTAAAGAGCTATTAGGAGAAATATTGGGATAAATTTTGTGCAATAAAGCCGAGCTGAGATACGAACTCGTCTTCAGTAGACCGAAAGTCAAAGCCTGCGCTCGATTTACCTTATTGTGAGGAAGAGGAAAGCCTCTCCTGCTGAGATAAGAGGGCTAAATAATTTCATTATAAGTGGTCGGTTTATCTCTATTCTACACAACTGCGGGCTGGCAGGGGAGTTCTCCGATGTCGTGGAAAGCGAGACCTCGCGCCTTTGAGTGGGCTAGCTCGCTCAGGTTTGTGGGGCCTCTCCTGATGAATCCCATATAGGTGGAGAGCCAGCTGCGCTTATTTCTGTGTTGCCTTTGATATCGACTCTGCCAGCATCTTTTAGCGCTGTATACGCGTATCTCAGAGGTCACATAGAGAAAAGCATGTCGTTGAGGTAAGGCTACGATTCCAGTTGTTCATAAGAAAAGTCTGCACTTCCAAGTAACTAATAAATCAAATTTCACTAAATATAGTTGCAGCTAGCGGGCTCTTACTCGATCCAAACCCACGCTTGGATATCATATGTATTCTGTACAAGCCTTAGCTTTGACCATTGCCTCATTTTATATTTGTTTTGTTTATTACAATTTCGCAACATTCGAGCCGGATGGACGACTTCTACTCTCCTGGGGACCAATTCTGTTGTGCTCTTCAGAAAACCTAATGTCAGTTCGTGCTAGCGCCATGACAAGACACACTCTTCTTGTGTTTCCGTTTATTACTATTTCTTGTAGCGAGTGTCGCTTACTTCTTAGTGTAATCTCTACTTGTCAAAATATTAAGAAAAGTAAACATATCGGCTTTTACAAAAAACAAGCACAATGAAAAGCTCACCCTGTAAAGTGAAACTTCGCTTGTGGTGCACTTTGAGATTGTCCCATTTTATTTAAAAAAAGTCAGAAGGCAATTGCACCCTGCTGACGCATCACTTATATAAACATTTTGGTTCATATTATCGAAATCACTGGTTCACAGGAGTGGAGGCACGAGACGTACGAGATGATGTGGCACGCCATGAAAGAAAACATGGTGTCTTCCATCGCCGAAGGCATTGAGCGTGTGGAACGCGGTGGCTACGCCTTCCTCATGGAGTCTACGAGCATTGAGTACGTGGTACGAAGACGGTGCCAGCTCAAGCATATCGGGGGTCTTCTAGACTCCAAGGGTTACGGCATCGCCACGCCGCATGGTGAGCCTTAACATCTACCACATGTCTCATTTTCATATTCACCATAATTATTGTCATCTTCCCTATCATGAGGCTGACTCCACTCACCCCAAGAGGACAGGTGCCTCTTTTGTGCTCTCATTTTGACCAATTGATCCGACGCCGTGTTTGCTAAGGCTACGTTATTCCTGTAGTCGGTAACGTTATTTACCCAACTAAATTTCTGCGTCCTCTTCGAGCACCTGACCTCACGCTGCATACCCCTCCCATGCTCATTTAGACGCGTTATTGACTCTGATGTTAATAATGAACATTTATTTCCCCGCTCCACTCTGCTCTCTTCTTTATAAAAATGTTACACCTATCATATTTCTTGCATTGGCTTGCTGCATTGTGCACAATGGTGCGCTAAGCACACTTTATTGAACGACGCATTGCTCATAAACAACCATGTGATTAGGAGCTTTATGCAATAACCATGTGATGTAGATGATGTCAGCGTGTTTTTTTGTGGAAAGTTGTTCGTCTATGAAGCTGCAATTTAATAATCATGTTGCGTTGATACGTAAACACTAAGATCTATGTTTTATGAATGATACTTCCTCTTCTGACAAAAATGAAACAATTTTTAAGGCACGTTTTTTTCACGCAACCTTAATGAAATTGAGTGCATAAAGAGGCCAGAAATCCTATTGGCGACGTATTATATGAGTTTTTAGTCAATACAAGCTACTGTATTATCATTGCATCGAACTTATGTATGCAGGTAAATATGCTCTGCCTCTAGTTTTTTCTTTACATTGAGCGCGTAACGGGGAAATCTAAAGTTGTGCTTGTCTTCGAAGGCAGTTCCAATCCAAAGTCGCATTGTATTGTTATCTATTAGCAGGTCTGTTAGAAGTACAATATATAGTGAGTAATGCAATATCGTCCCATATACCCCACGTTACATGTCCAGGCACAGTGTTTGGGCCGTTATGTCTGTGAAGCAAAAGAATGAACGGGTAATTCCGACGTCAAAGCAGGTGGCATAACATGAAAGCAAAACTTCTCGTTCCTGAAGTAGTTAAATGCTTATTGTACATTTATATAAGAGGTCTTGCGCAACGTCTGTTGTTGTTTGGTGCTTATATCACTGATTAACGTAGATCCACACACGTTGGCGCCTGCTAGCACATTTCTATGCTGACAACTAAAGACCATGATCAAAGCAATAAACAAATCTTTGTGGTTGTTGTAGTAGTTACCACTGTGAGCGCAAGCAGAGAAAGTGGTGCGACAGCCAAAAGGGCGTTGCTGACTGGACGCACATCTTCAGCCAAGGCCGCCATCCCGTGGCATATTAGAGGGAAATGCAACGCGCGTTGATTGTACCTTCTAGCTTGGCGGCGATCTTTCTCAGGGTGAACGTAAGTGCGATGCGCAGTGTTATAATAGCGGCGTTGTTGCCAGTATGATTTAGGAACAATGCAAATTCAACATGGCGACACAAGAAGAGACCCTGAAAAGAAGAGACTCTACAGTGCTTGTCAGTGTTTGTTCTTGTGTACCCGTCTTGAATTTACGTTGTTCGTACTTCGTACTACTAAACCAACTAGCCCAAAGCTTCACCTAATGAAGTTATTGCCAGGTGAGTCAGTGGTGCATCGTACAGCTATTATTCTTATGGATAGATCGTATGAGGCAAGGCGAGGCTTGGACTAATGTCGCCAACTCGTCGTGGGCCATGACGTTGACAAAGTTCTACTTCTATTATTGTAACGGCATCAAATTAAACGGAAGCATAAGGACAACACTCTGCAGGAGCTAATACCGGATGTCCCGGTCATGATGCATTGCTTAACTTTGCCGCTTGCAGGCGGTGACATCGTCCTGCCAGCCCAGGCCACTGCGATATGAAAGGACAAGATATAAAAAAAAGGGGTGGTGATGCCATCAGAGTATGCGACCGCAAAACAAAGTGTGTGTGTCTCCGCAATTGAAGACTTTCACTTTTAAGATGCACACAGGTACACTTGCTGTGAAGACAAGACAAAAGACAACTTTTTTTTCTTTTGGACGTAAACTGCAGAGTGTGCCGTAACCATGAGACTATTGATAAACGTTTTATTGGTTTTCAATAGGAAGTGCTATTTAGGGATGCCCTGCAGCGAAAAGTGAAAAAAGACTAAATTCCATTCCGTGAACATTGCGCCCCACGATGCGACCACGAATACCACTCTTATTTGATGAGCTCATTTTTCTACGCAATTTCCTGGACAGAAATACGTCACTGCAGTCTTTGTGGGCGCCGGCATAAAACTCTAGTCTTAGCAAGCCATGTCATATATTGTTTTATTCGTGCAGGTTCTCCGTACCGCAACATCCTGTCGTCAACATTACTAAGGCTGCAGGAGCGTGGCACTCTGCGAAAATTCAAGGATCGTTGGTGGAAAGTACGGGATCCGCTCAATGAATGTCCTACTAAAGAGGCCGGCGAACCTAGGACTGACGCAGCTAGCGAGCTGGGCCTGCGAACAGTCGGCGGCGTGTTCGTCGTTCTCCTTGCTGGTCTTGGTCTGGCCTGCCTCATCGCTTTCGCTGAGCTGTTCTGTAAAGCGAGATTAGGACGCAGTTGAAGAAGTGCCTGAGCATTTTACACCTCAGCGCATGAACTGGACTATTTAGCTTTTGTTCATTTCGAAGTCATGACAGGCGCAACAAAGTGCATGTGGTATACACAAAAAAATTGCTACTGCTCCTTGCGTGGAATTTTGTGCTGCACTTAAAATGGTTTGAATCCTTGTTGGCTGTGAATTGTGGAATAAAGTATGCGTCGAAATGCTCAGAGCTCCTGCGAGATTGTGCAGTTTTGTCATGTTTGAGCGCCGATCATTAGCCCAATAAAGTGCATTTTCATTATGACTACCAATATTTGTAGTATAGCTGCCCATCTTCCATAATGTGGCGGGTAGCTCGTTTTGTGAAAATGGGTTACCCGTGGCTTTTGGAACGATTAAAGGAATACTCAACACCAGAATCATTATTAAGCCATTTTTTGCATTTTGTAATGGCTCCTTGTTTTTAAAAAGTAAATATTTATGATATATTAAGAATACAATTATGAAGGACGATTATTTCAGTAACGAAGAAAGTAGCCATCATCAAACTATCAAATATTTACCGTTTTAAGAGAGCGTGTTCTATCGGTAGTCATTTATTCACTACAGCTTAACTTTTTCCTCACTCCTTCGGCGCAATTAATTAATTTCTGCTTGCTTTTTTCCCGCTGCATGGTATTGTGTAACATTAGCCAAACCACGCTGCTTCGAGTACCTGCTAGAAACTAGTTGTTCTCCTTCATAAACCTTGCGTAACTTCATGGCTTTTTTGCGAAACCAACTTGCCAGACTTGCAGTCCTGGGATGTTAAATTACGTTCTGTAATCGGTAGGGACCTCCTGTAGAATGCGGTCTCCATGCTCTAGCCACACATTCTTCACTTAGATATCGCAAGAGTATAATGCCAGATTGATGAAAAAGATTAAGTCTAACAATTTTAAGGACAAAGTGACCCCGACAACCATTCCATGAGCAAAGCCAAAATGCGCCCCGCTTGTAGGATGGAAGGCTCTCATACTGGTGGTATAACGAGCCATAAACATACTGCGCTTTTACGTTATTGTGCTGCAGCGCTCTCAGATGGTCTTCCGGGAAAACAACCGTCATGGAACCACGCCCAAATGAGCAGCCGTGTCATAGGCATTGGGTCTACAGCACGTCAGAATTTGTGGCCGATAACATTAACCCGATGTGGCGGCTGTATCGTAAAAGTAAAGAAATAATGTGTATAAAATTGGATAACGAGTACCTCAACTGCAACCTCAACTGTTGTTTTACGACGATTGTGCCTGCACAGGGTGTGTTTCCAAAGTGGGTCTGAGACCTTGAGTGGCTCTGCGGTATAATACTCAATTGCCACGCAGAATATTTGGATTTGATTCTTGCTGGGATCAGAACATTTATTCTTTGCATTTGGGGGTGAATGCAGCTGATGTTGGTTTTTCTTTACGTTTTCGCGTTTGAAACATAAATGTCTGTTTTCTTCATTTCTTGATAGATAACAGCTGTAAAATAACATTGGCGCATAGCCACGCGCCGTATGCGGGTATGTGCGACATGTGCTCGGCGGAAAGGGTTCGACGATATACGGGACGAGATTGTCGCAATATTTATGTCGTACTCACCCTTCGTATGCGGGCATGTGCCAAATATGTCCGGCGGAAAGGGTTCAACGACGCAGCGACAAGATTTTTGCAATATTCATGCCTTGATGAGCGAGCCATAGAAGTAAAACTATATCACTCTCCCATACTAAACTTGGTTTACCTCAAATTGATGGGGTGATCACTGGAGCACCCAGACGTATGTAGGTATATATACAATATACGTGGATATATAAACTTATCAAAAGTACCAGCTGTAAACAAACAAATTCTTCGGATTAATTATCCCCTGCATTATTTTTCCTGCTTTACACCTGTGAGGTCATGTGGTGCTATTAAAATGGTTGTAAGATTACGGACAAGTAAAGGTTTTGCAAAATTATTTGTGTCATCTCGCTGAACCTGTTTATTGAAGTTCTTGCAATTAGTCGGCGACCCGCTAGCTGACCGCCAAGTGAGCAGTGACATGCATCAACCGCTGAAGCGTCAAAGAAAAACCCCTGATACCACAGCTTTTAAAGAGCTATCAAGTAAACTAGTTCCAATAGCTTGTTTCGGAATGAAACTAATGTAAATAAGTAAGAAAACATGTCTGTTGAGATTCTAACACATTTCCATTGAAACAAACAAAGAGGTTGCAGTTATGTCAATTTTATTTAAACACTCCTGTAGATAGGCATCTTCTGTGTAATTGTATCCTATAGTAGCCAATTTACAAATGTATCGGACTATCTTAAGATATCATTGGAAAGTATCATGTCGGAAACATTCATTCCGGAAGTATCTTGTATCTGCATCTCCCATACTTCTTGCCCAGGTATCTTTTGTAGAACCGTGGTAAGATTTCAAATATTACACTTTTTTAAAAACGTGTTGTGTTCTCGCCGTATCACTACACTACCTGTTTTGTTTTGTCTGGAGTATTCGTGTTTTCACGCGTCGAAAGGCCTCCTGGTTGGTTTTAAGAAGCAGGAGCAAAGATGGAGATTGCGCTCGTTTCTGATCCGTCTTCAATGACCAGCAAAGTAGCGAGCAATGAACAGAAAGAGAACAAAGACGAACACTCGTTTTTAAGTGAAGATATTTGTACAGCAGTTATCACTTAGCTCGGTGGAATTTGTCGTAAATTGAGGCGTAAATGATGCGGAGTGCTTTGTCCAGTAAATTATACTATTTCAAGTATATAATGTTCGTGGAGAACTGAAGATTTGAATTATATGCTTTTGCAGAGTGACAAGCAATACCATACGCATCATAACGTTCAGCATCAAAAGCATAATTTTGTGCATTACATCATGAAAAGCACCACGTTATATTTCAGTGACTGGTAATTGACTGTGGAATCATCGGTAATGAAAAGGTTGACTGAGCTGCCTGATCAGCCCATACAGAAGACCTTGACCTGTGGGTACCTCTCTTTAGGACGGACGCTGCTAGGAAACTCCGCATGCTTGCTCGCCATTGCTCCATATCACTTCCGAATTAGTCGTTTTGAGGGTGAAGCTCCATGAGGCGTGTGTCTTTTCATCCCTTGTATATATATATGTATGTATGTACGTGACCGCCTGTAGTTCCACCTTCGCCAGCTGCCCACTACTTCGTCCTTGCAAACATCCAACTACGCCCCATCACCAATCTAGCACTTCACTGACCTCGAAGCAAATAGTGTTGAGAAGTAGTCAATATGAAATGCAAGATGATCGTGTACTTGTATTCAACTGCGCGTTATAGAACCACAGATTGTCTCACCGTGCCCATTCCTTGTTTTTACGTGACCACATACAGTTCCACCTTTGCAAACAGTCCACTACTTCATCTTTGCATACATCCCACTATGCCTGATCACCGGTCCACCACTTCACCGAACATAAAGCCATTATAGGGAAGGGGGAACGGAAGCGACGTGTAGCTGCCACTTACATATTGTAGAATTTCTTGTGTAAATATATACGGTATTTGTATACGTAACCCTCCAGCGCTTTGCCCCACTCATCATCATTCACTCCGTGGATATGCCGTGATTTTCTTTACGCTTGGAAGATTACACTCATTTGATTGAACATTAAGCATGCGGCTTCCAGCAAAACTTTGATGAGGTGACGGTACTGCTCTGTGCAGACTATGGTTGGGCGTGGCGTTTACCAGTGCGCACGTGTTCCGCATAGGGATGGCCGACACCGGCACCTGTGCATAACGCAGAGATGAAGAGACAATTCGACACGTCCTCTGCGACTGCTAGGAATATAACATACAAAGACAATACCTTTCTAATACGCTACTCAAGATATACGACCAGCCACTCTCAGAGGAAAGTATACTGCGCCATCGTCTAGACTCATCGTACCTTAAGAAGGCCGTGCAGGCGGTAGTGGGCTTTTTGCGAACTGCTGGCCTATCGGAACAGCTCTGAGTGGATTGATTTTGTGAGTGCGTGTGTTCACTTTTTGCTTTTTTTATTTTTGGTGCTCTCTCTTTCAACCCCCTATTCCCCAACCTTAGTGTAGGGTAGTATACCGGATACAAGCATCTGGTTAACCTGCCCACTTTTCTTTTTTATCGTTTTTCTCTCTCTTTCTCCCCTAATAATCGCATATTTAAAATCTCGTGCGCGTGCTGCTCGAAATTGTTTTTGCACATTTGATAGTTTCACCACAACACGTAACCACCGGTGGCCCTCCACTGGTAGTCATTCCATCGTCACGAACACCTAAATGACCATCGGTTGTCGGCGCTTTTCATTATGTTAGCCGCACAGGTTCATCGTTAATTTTCTTGCAATATAAACCAGTTACCAGAACCCTTCTTTATTCTCTGACATATCTGTTGTCTTCCTAGTTCTCAACGGTAAATTTATGGTATGTTCCATTCAATCGCACGCTGCATATAAAGCCTAAATTTATCTCAGGTATTCTTATTATCCTTCAAGTTTTTGTCTATATGTTAGCACTTGTACAGACACCATCGATGGGTCTCAAACTGAAACCAAGATCTGTCTCACTCGATTCTTCTTTTATAGAAGTGTTGAGTAGTTGATAACTTAAGTGGTGCCGAACAAAATATTGCAGCTGTGCCTTTTAATAGCTTCAGTTGGCGAGGATGGCGTTGTGGAGTGACAGAAAGTGTCGCTGTGGTAACACTATCGAACGGGCTCAGTGAGTCGTTGCTGAGTAGTTGTCAGCGCAGCCGGGCGAACGTCTTTTGAGAAATCCTTTTTTTGCTTATGATTCCGAATAGCCTAATTATCCTATAAAGTAAGCAACCATTTTTCATTATTTGACTCTTCCATTCATCCGTGGCACACTTTAGAACTTGTGCTTCCAGCTATCGGATGATATAGTACAAGGTGAGGTGGAAGAGTGGTTCGCACGTCACCTTCGATAACCCCACGAGTAGTTTTTGACCGAAATAAGTGGGAAAAAGTTTTACCAGTGCAGGTGTTTGCAGGCCTTTTTTCTTGATCACTGTAACGTCACAATACACCCATTTTGATTTTCACGGCTTCATAGTTTCCAGGTGAAGTATTCAATAAATACATCGAATGTGCACTATAGCGGTCACCTACGTCTAAGCGCAGGCACGGCAATATAAATGCTGGGTTGCGTTTAGGAACACGTGCTGAAAGTGATAGTATTTGTGCGAAGTGTATATCGCAGGACAAAAAAGCTCTCTCTTGAGTTCAGTAAAAGGAGCCGATGTGAAAGCGTCTGAAATTTTAACTAGGTTATTGTGTCTTTTATTGCGGTGTGTTTTACTCCTTTATAAATTTACCAAGTTCAACATCTGTGATTGACTGTATGGCCACTCGACAATTTATAGCGTGTCATAAGATTTTTTCTTCGGTCATATTCCTTCCTCAGCCAAAGAGAGTCATTTTGTAGTCGCCATTGATAGTTGTTTGTATCACCTGTCTTAATAAAAGAACCAGTGGCGTAGGAAGTGGGAGGGCCTTTAATACGCAGTAAACTTCTTCAATTTTTTGTGCTTATATATAAATGCGCTCACACTGATGCATGCACGACCATATACAACGTAGGTTGACCTGTCATCACCCCCATCAAAAGTATACTGAAACAAGCTTTGATTTTCCGGTTTTTACTGTGATTTTTGTATCGTAATCAATAGAGTGAGGGAGTAAGACAATATGGCATAAGATAGTGTTACGTAGAACGCATTTTAAATATAGCCTATTCAGTTTTCTTAACTTTGTTTTTTTTTGGTGTGGACACTACAGTTTATTCATTCATTCTTCATAACTGTCGGCAAGGAGTTCGTAATAACATGGGCACCAGCTAAATCTCTGTTCTGTCAAACAATGAAATCACAACAACTCAAGCAACATAATCCTTAAGACGCAAAGCACAAAAGGACAATCTGTCACAAATATTGACACAACATTCATTACGGCATGCAGTAAAATCTCGTTATATTGAAATTCCTGGGAGAGGAAAAAAATTTCTGAATCACCCGAATGGCTAAATATGAAAAGTATCACAAAATCAAGAAGTGTCGATTACATCAATGCGTCTTTATTGATACGTTATTTCAGTGCCTATTTTGTGTAACAGCATTATGAAAGCCATATTTTTATTGGTGACATCGTTCAAAGTGTGACGGGCGTCATACTGTAACATAACCACCGCTCGAAATAATCGTTCTTTGATCTTAAAGGCGCCCTTGGACAATGTCTTATCACGTACCGCCACTAGCAACGCCAGCAGGTGCACATGAAGATAATTATTTCGACACGAAATTGGCAGCCAAGTGGTCGTTCGTTCATCTAGGCGTAGCATGCGAGCATTACGTCAGCCCACGGTCGGTAGCTGACGCTGATCTTCAATAGCTTCCGCCATGTTTGAGTTTTGTGCTATT